ACAAGTCCTGCAATCACATGACTACACAACACACCAATTCTCTATAACCTCATTTTTAGTCCCTGTATCTCTGTCTGTGTAATATGGTTAATAATTGGTTTGAATCTTGYTTCCAGTAAGACCCACTCTTACAATGGGGAGATTGTTCACTTAAATACCCAATATTTTACTTTTTCTCGGTTAAACTCACCTATGACACATTGCATTCCTAGTCAAACTCCATTCTTAACAAAATGGAAAACTTGGAAATTAATTACTCAAATGACTAATCCAGCTTTGCAGCACTGTTTAATGCTGCTTTGCAAGAAACAAACTGAGAGCAACTGACCAACAGCATTGGGTGGTGCCATCAAACTTGATTACAATAATTTTGGTAGAAGCTTTTTCTCCAGTGGGGAATAATGACTTACTGTGCCSAGGTAACTTGACTGAAGCCATTTATATGGAAGTCTAGCCAGGTTGTGTGAAGGACTTAATCAGAATTGTTTTGAAGTGTCTGATGGGATATCTTCTGTGTCACTGGAGATGAGAATCACAGACTGCCACAAGTGAAATAGCTAACACTGATTAGTACTCTGATCAGACCTCTGCTAGGTGCTCATGAAAAACCAGCAATAAATCAGGAAATATTGCAGAAATTTATTGCAGAATTTATTTGTAATTTATTTACAGAATGTATTGCAGGAATTGTTGCAGAAATACATGCAGTGAAGATAGGTATTAGGAAAAATGAGCCTGGGAAAGGAAGCAAACTGGACATCCCAACCAGAGAAATGAGATCTACTGAGAAAATAAGCACAGGCTATGTAGGAAGAGATCTCTTGAACACTGTTGGAAACCAGCCCTAGAACCAGTTCTAGAACACCAGGAAATCAAGCACAGAAAATAAATCAAGATGTATAATTCTTATAGGAGAGGATGGTTTCTAAAGCTTCTACTTAACCAGTGATGAAAGATTAATTCCTCCTCAAGCTTGACACTTGCATGCTTGCAACTGTCATTATGCTTTCATACCAGTGATCCATTTCCCTGTTGACTGTGATTTCCTTACCTCATCTAACTCACTGCTCAGTCACCTCTATTTCCTTGCAGTAGACTTTGTCAGATGCTCCTGACTACAACAGATCTTTCCTAGTTATGTGCACATAACACATTTAAAACAAAACAAACCCAAATTCACTACTGGTTTACTCCCAACTGTTGTTTGATTTTCCTTAACATTTTTATCTTTAGCCCAAACTAGCAGTACTTGGCTGGTTAGAGCTGTGGCGGAAAGCAAGGTAGAGAAGGATTGCCAGAGCAGGAAGCCCAGGCTCCACTACCAACAACACTCTATCTGGCAACGGGTCCAAAAGCTTTGAACTATTTTAAGGGGATTAGCACCACAAAAGAGGAAAGCATGAAGGAACAACGTGATGCATCTTTTTTAGCCAACAGTCGAAATAGCTTCAGCATTCATTCTGACAAGAYAAATGAACAATCAGCTTTTCTAAGACTAGCCAAGAGAACATTAAGATWGTAATATAACTGAGAGAAAATGTGCCTACTTGAACATATAATTTTTACTGAAGATTATTCCACTCAGTCCTCCCACTAAAAATGAGGGCAAGATATACCCAATGATGAGATGGTAAAATACATGATTTTATCTGCACATATCATATCACTTCTGAAAGAGGAGTGGATTTAGTGAACATGCTAAAGTGTGCCCGAATAGAGAGCTTTGGGATGGAAGGAATAGATACAGATTGATCAAACCACCATGCCTCTTCAGGAAACTGACAGATGGATCTTGTGGTAAAATGGAATAACCCCCACAGTATAGACTGTATAGACTTCAGTATAGACTGAAGACTGACCAAAGTAGGAATCTGGAGGTCCTGGTGGACTGTGGCAAGGACAGCATGAGCAGGGTCACCCCATGAGGGTGGATAAGTTGGGAAACAAGGTTGACCACAGGATAGGCAGGGCAGTATCCTCACCAAACAGGGTGCAGTTCCATAGGATTTGGGTAGGACTGGAGTGGTGACAGGTCTTCTTGAGAGTCCAAAACATGGCAAGGTAATGAGTCATGTCCAGAGTCCAGACAGAAAGTGAAGCCAGAAGCCAGAAGCCAGAGTCAGAGTAAAGGTCCATACAGGAGAAAGGGTTGGAGACAAGGCTGTATACCACATAGGTGCRTTGAGGAAGGACAGCTGATGAGAAAAGATGACAGGAGACTAAACTTCTGTGCAGCTAAAGTCCCAGGCRAGGGTGTCAGGACAGTTAAGGCCCAGCCATGCGCTTTACTTGGCCTGACAGGTACCAAGCAAAACATAAGTGAGCAGAACAGCACGGTGGTGAGCAAGGCTACCTTTACAGACACATATTAGATTGTTTTCACAGGCATGCAGCCAGGACATCAAAAGRAGTACTAGTCCTCTTTACTCAGCACTTGTTAYATCACGTCTGGAAAACCACACTACACTCTGGAGCCTGCACTGTGAGAAAGAAGCTGACAAATTGCAGTGAGTGCAGCTGAGGACAATCAAATTGGCATGGGGGTGGGAGCATATGCCCTCCGAGGAAAGGCTGGGAGAACTGCATCCAGGCTTGAAGGGAAACCCAAGAGCTTTCTTCCAGTACCTGAGACWATCAAGAAAATGGAGCAAGACTCTCTAATGAGGTGCACAGCAACAAGATGAGAGGCAACAGTCACATGAGGACATCCTGATTCAAGGGGAAAAAAGATCACTGTGACACCAATCAAGCACTGACACATAGGTTGCCCAAAAAAAGTTGTGCACTCCATTCTTGGAGGTTTTCAAGACCCCACTGAACAAAGAAGGCTGAAGAAAAAGAAAGTTGGAGTGGAGACCTCTTGAGTCACCCCAATCYGAACAATACTATTCTATTACTTCCATTGTTATTCAAGCATTCTGCTGAACAGACAAGGCCAAAGGAGAATGAAGGACATTTGRGCATGTGGAAAAAGTTGTTGAAGAATCTCATTTTGATTACAAGTTACAAGTACAGAATTACTCAAACGAAATAGTCCTTTACTGAACACAGAATTCTTTAATTTTTTCCATACCCTTTAGGGATTTTTTTTTTTTTTTACATTTTACTTCTTTGTACATAAACTTCTCAGTCTTTTTTTAATTTCACTGTTCTTTAATGAGGCTCATTGTACATTGCACTGTTTGCCCAATAAAAACATTCCAGGACTAAAGTGTGTTGTCACGCTCTCACTACCTTTGAACTGCTCCATCTCTGATGTTTGTTCAATTTTCCTTTTATTTATCCCTCCTTTCAGTGCAGCCCTGATGATGTCCCAACATTCTTCAGCTTTGAAGTTGAATSTTACCCTGAAATGCACATTATATTTCAACATGAATTACATTACCTCCTAGGTAAACCCCAAAATCAATAATTTATATGATACTATTGCTACTTTTCAATTATTGCTACTTTTAAACTTGTCTAGTAATGAGCACTCCATGCCCTCTTCAGCATTAAAAGCTGTCATTTCTTTGGAGAAAAATGTTTGTGTTTTTCTTTGGAATAGGAAAGATGGATTTCTTGATGTYATTGATTTCTGTCATTCTTCCCTCCCCACCCCTGCCTTTGGCTATTACACTGTATCACCTGTATGGAAACATTGTCCATTTACTTTCAGATTATGTGAATAGTCTGCAAGCATTCAACACTCCTATCAACCTGCTCAATTAGCTGATAAATTCCGAACCTTCAGGTATTTCAGGTAAATTCAGCACTTGAGGTCAGCTAATGCCTCCCCAAGGCTGGGAGAACSMTGGCTGGAAACACCTGACTSTGTTAAGGGCAGACTGGTCCATGTGCTCAGAGGAATGAAACAGATGATGGTGCTCAGTGTTGTACACTGTGAGGGACATGTTCTAAAGGGGATCTGGCCTGGTCCTAGGCACTCAACAGTCATTGGCATTGTAGATCTTCCATTTTGGCTGACATCAAGACATCAAAGCTCCAAGTCTGCTCCAGTGTGCGAAATGAAGTGGAAACCAYCAGATTTGTTTAAAAGGCAAACCCCTTTACCAAAATGAAACACCAGTGAAAGCATAAGCAGAGAGTTCTTTTGCTCCTATGGGTGCACAACAATGTTCCCTTCAGCATATCTTTCAGAGTTGATGTGGTYTCGTAACTCACAACCAACATAATGAAAGGAGCTCCAGGTGGACTTACATAGGGGAAAATGCATTTTAGAACAGTTTTAAACATTGGTGGGTATAAGGCTTTGGGGATTTTTTCCGTTTTTTTTTTTTGTTTTTTGGGTTTTTTTTTTCTTTTGTCTGCTGTAAACCAGTTCATTTGTAAAGCCGCTGACTACCCTGTCCCCTTCCCACCTCTTTCTAACCTGTATTTTATAAACTCAGCTTCTCATCCCATCAGAGCTGTAAGCACTGCTGAGCACAAGGGACTGCCAGCACCCAGCGCCTGCGGCCGCGCTGGCGCCTGAGCTCATTGGGAAGCACAAGGAAATGCATGAGTCTCCAGGGCGGATGCCAGGGAGTGGCAGGCTCTTTTCACGGGTGCCCAGCGACAGGACGAGGAGCAATGGCCACACTTGAACACAAMRAGCTCCACCTCAACACGAGGAAGAACTTTTTTCYATGRAGGGTGGCAGAGCACYGGAACAGGCTACCCAGGGTAGTTGCGGGRTCTCCCTCTCTGGAGACATTCCAAACCCACCCGAACGCGTTCCTGCGCAACCCGCTCTAGGTGACCCTGGCCTGGCAAAGGGGGTTGGACCGGATGATCTCCAGAGGTCCCTTCCATCGCCAACAACCTGCGGGCCGGACAAGTGCGCCGAGCAGGGACCAGCGGCTCGGGAAGCGCCGCGTGCTGCGGGCCGGGCCCGCCCCAGAGGCGGCCGGAGGGCGTGAGGGGCGGGGCGGGGCCGAGGGGCGGCCGGCGGGCGGTGCGAGGGGCGGGCGCTGTCTCCGCCCGGCRGGCGCTGTGCTGCGGCGGCGGCGCCGCTTCGCTTCCGCGGCGGGGCCGGGCCGGGCCGGGATTGGCCGCGCGGCCGCCTCGCCCCAGAATGCAGCGCATGGCGCGTCATTGAAGAGAGACCATGATGGCGGCGGCCGCGGCGGCGGCGGGGGGTGCCCCCGAGGTGATCGCCCAGCTGGAGAACGCGGCCAAAGTGCTCATGGTGAGGCGGGTGGCGGCACCGCCGCGCCTGGAGCGCCGCTTCGCCCCCAGAGGGGCGCCCGCGCCGGACCCCTCTCCCCTCCCCACCTCCGCTCCCGCCGCCCTCGCCCCTCGGGCGTGGCGCTCCGGGCGCAGCCCGTCGGGGCGCGTCGCCCCCGTCGCCCCGTCCCGCTCCCCGGTCGGCCGGGCTCCCTCCCCTCCTGTCCTTCCGCCGCCGCGCCGGCTGGTCCCTGTGGCCCCGCAGCCGGGGCCGGCCCCGCCGCGCACGCCGCGCCGCTCCTCCATGTGCCGCCCGCTCCYCGCCGCCCCGAGCGGGCTCTGCCTGCTGCCCGCGCTCCGCGCTGCCCGCCCCGGCTGCGGGGTGTCCGTCCTGGAGCCCCCGCACCGCCGCGCTCCCTCGCAGAGACCCTCGCCGAAGTTGCCAGTGAGCAACTCTCCCTCCCTCTCTCCCGGCGGCGGGGCCGGGGCCCCGGGCACCTCCCGCGGCGGCGGAGGAGCGGCCGGAGGTCGCGGCCGTCCCCAGCCCAGCGGGGACAGCGAAGCTCCCTGGGCAGAGTGGAAGCGGCCTCGGGAATGGYGCGATCCGGTTCCAGAGTTTTCCTTTAAACTGGGTAGCAGCGAGGAGTCATAGGCTCACGATGCTGCCGCCTTGAAGCAAAGCCATTAGTGGTGCTTCGCACTTGGTCTTTTTATTATCAATTARCAGGCCATGCTGATTGTGAGTATGTTATCTTGTTTTCATAATTGAATGGGAAAGGAAGTCCATATGGCAGAGATCAGAAAATGTGATGGAATTGGATACCGGTAATGACCATTGGTGTCATCCTGGTTTTGCATCCTTGTAAAAAAATTGTTTGAATGAAAAACTCCAGGTTGGCTGGTATAGTTTACAGGTTTTTCGCTTAGATCTTCTGTAAATGTCTACCTGAAAGCTTTCCCCAYGGAATTTATCTTGTCAAAAAGCAGTTCTAACAGAAATAAAGTTTGTAAGCTGTTGATATTAATGGGATTTCAAAAGAACCAAATAAATAGTAGCGGAGTTTTTCTGGTATCAATAATTAATCAATGGCTGCAACTGGACTGATTGCAGTTTAATGTCTCGCTGTAGCAGCCTGACTGTAAAGCAACAGGTGATCAGCTTTACTTATGGGTGTCCCATTAGAATATGTGTGTTACTCCTTGTGAGGTCAAAGCCTGAGAAAGATTGACTGTGTTTCCAGGCAGGACAGTAAAGGTAAATAGCTTGGCAACAAGCACTAGTGCTTCCAGAAAAAWCACTTTTCAAAGTATGCCACCAGTGATAGGTTTCAGACTTTGAGCTGCTTTTGATTCATGCATGCTTTGCAAAACATGACTGTGTAGCTTGTTAGATCTTCTGGTAAARTCTGTATATATCAGTTTTAAAAATAACCCAAATGCAATAATTGCCAGGAGCTTTTGATGGCATAAGGAAAATAGGTAGTAAGTATTACTATGTAACAGAATTCGTATTTGCAGTGTAAGCTGGAGGTTAGGTGATTTTCAATATCAAACCGATCCCATGTGGAGTGGCATCTCCAAAATCTTGCATCTGTGCTTGAAGACTAAATGTAACTTGTGTGGGCATTGTTTCCCTAGCATAGCCCTCCTAGCACAGAGAGGGAAAAGTAAAAGTAACTTACTGTGGAGTTGAATTAAGTAAAAATGTTAATATAGTGAAAAGACGCAGGCCTCTCATGGTTATGTCTGTGCTTCTATTGAAGAATAGTTGCTGAACTTGCTGGAAAAACTATGCCTTGGATCTGCAAGCACATGGATTTTAAGATCCTTGTTGAATTTTTATGTTCCTCTCTCCAGCCTCTGAAAATATGAAACCAAACTTGTTGTGGTTTTAGCTTTTTCTTTTTACTTCTTTTCCACAGCTGATTTTGGAAGTTTCCTCGACAACACTAAACTGAGAAGAATTAGTTAGATAGCTCTTACTGAGGAAGCTGCCTGAAACAGAGATATTCTCTAAAGCTGTCCATGAGGGTGAGGACCCAGAATCAGGCTTTAAGCAAGTCTGGCTATGGAAGAACTGTGAGAACTATTGAGTGTTATTGCTCTGTTCCTTCTCAAAACTCATTGAGTCTTTGGAGGGATGCAGGAGAGGAATGCAGCTCAGTGGGTGCTTCACAAAGGTAGATGTGGGTCCCTAGAGACTGAAAGATTTATGAGATCTGTTCCTGTTATGTCTTGCTAGCAAATTTGCAAAAAGAAGAGCTTACTTGTGTTTCAGGACTGCGCCTGGACAGTGATGATCTGAATTTCATTTAGCCAGAGAGCTGCACTGTTAGGTTACAGGTCTGCTTGAGGATGAGGGCAGGAAGCTACCTCTGTGTGGCAGATGGGATGGGTGAACTGAACAAGCAAAATTGTGGGATCGCTTAGAAAGTTATTTATGTAAAAATCTGAGGACTTGGGGTTGGGAGGGTGATGAACCTGGTGCAACTGTTGGAGGTTGTGAGTCAAGGTCAGCACCTTGCAGTGGAGCCACACCTGGAGTAATGGGAGAGGGCAGAGCTGTGAATGGTCTGACAATAGATGGCAGAAGGTTTTAACTGGTAGGGAGGGAGCTGTGGAGGGATTTGGCAAGGTGTTCTTGTGACAGTGTCTCAGCTGAGATGGTGGCAATCCTTGCMAAATACAGATGGCTAGTGATAGATCAAAGATGTTTCAGCATATCAAAACACAGAGCAGGGAGTGGTGGTGGCTTACCTGATACTTGTCTTGGTTTCAGACTGAAATACTGACTCTTGAGGAGAATAATGGMATGCTAATAAAAAGACCTGAATGTGTTTAATTAACTTTCCTTGAGGCTAAGTATGGAGCCTCATAAGTACTGTGAGCTCTCTAAATCTTTGATAAATRTTTTCGTAATTCTTTTTTTTCCCATTGCTCTGGGTTAGCTGAGTTTTCCTTTGGAAATTTACTTTTTAGATATCAGAAAAAGTATGCCCCAGTCCTGATCTCCTAAACTGCTGATCTTTATGGACTTTACAAACCATAGCGTACCATGTTTTAACACTGTAAAGGTTCAATCTGTTCTCTCACCAAGCTCTTCTACAGCTGCTTGGAAATGCTTTTCCTTGGTTATGCCTTTCAACAGGCTCTACGTAGCTCGCATTCAAAAGCCTTAATTTGAGTAAGGATTGGAATTTGGTTAAAATTGAAGAGTTGTTATAAAAGATGAAACTTATGTTGTCATTAGCTACCAAGTATGACTTTGAAGGCTGGTACTGTGACAATTTTCTTTAATGTGTGTGAAAGTACTTGCARTATAAAAATTTGGTATGTAATTCCTTTCCAGCAAAGCTACATGGTGTTTACTTGAAGTAAGAGCCCCATTAGTGCTTTGCTGTGAAGTTTTTCAGTGCCACAGAACGGTATCCACCTTTGGCCTGTGTGACTTTGGCTTGGTAATGAACTGAAATGATTTACTCCTCCTCCGTTTCCTACTGGCTTGGCATCTCCTGAYATGTGTCTCCTATCTATTATGTTCTGTTTAGCTCAGGTGGTAATTAATGCCAAATATAATTAATACTAGTTAAGCACTGTTTTAATAGCTGTCTTCATGGATTAGAGAAGACATTGGTTGTATTATTATGGAAAGAAATGTACATTTCATCCCAAAGGTGAGAGGATGAAGTAGGAAGCATGTCCAACGCTTGTCTAGTTATTGCTGAGAGTTTTTATTAAAGCAGGTTGAAATTTTGTAGCATATAGTGTGCTCTGACACCTAAATGTAAATTCACAGGTTATAGGTTGCTCACCCCGCCTCTTTCCAGAAAGGGGTGCTCTGTTCTTACTTGCAKTTCCACTTTCTTCCTTGTGATCCTGTGCAGAAGATATTAATATTGCTGAGATGACATAGGAATTAAACAAGGGAATGGATTTTTGTCAGGTTAGCAAGATGTATTGGCTATCTGTGCAGCCATTTAGGTTGCAGAGCTAGCACAGGGGCACTGAAATTAGATTGCTGGACACGTACAGAGCTGGTCTGCCCCCGTCAGTGGTGAGCTGTCAGGTTGGCTCAAGTGTATAATATACCTTCATTGTACAATTTACTTGATAACTCAGACTCTCCTGATATTAGAAATGCCAGACTTCACTTAGAGGTGCGCATTGAAAAGAAAGAGGTAACAGGTTTCAGAAAGGAACATTCCAGATGGAGGCAAGGAAAAAATATCACAGTGTGATAGGTGGAGGCAGTGGAGCAGTCTGTGTGGAGACTCTATGGGATCTCCCATCTTTGGAGATATTTAACACTTGACTGAACAAATCTCACAACAACTTGATTTAACTTTGAACCGAGTTCTTTTTTTGGGCAGGGGACTGAACAAAGTAGGTCCAGAGGTCCCTGTTATGCTGTTCTATGTGGTGTGGTTCTTGGAATGTTCAAAAAACATTTGATCAAAGGCTTTTGCGGAAGAACCTCATTCTTTAAAAGTTTGTAAATGTTCTGTTTTGACTACGGTTTGTTTTAAGGCTGGGGGATGTTGGGTGTGTGTATGGGGTGATGTGGATTCTCACATCACCACCTTCTCAGGGTACCACTTAGTTTGTGACTTATCCTGCTATACTGAGGGAGGTTTCAGGCTAAAGTTGGGTTGTCTGACAGTAGTCCTACAAACTTCACTTTCAGATGTTCAAATAAGGTTACAGAATAAGAGTGTAAGGGTGCACATTAGTAAGTCCAGACTGTTTATACTATCAACCAGTTTTATGTTTGGCTCTTTCTTGGAGATCAGGGTTGTTGTGGTAAGTGTATGAAATTGTCAAAAAATAAACTCCCTTGCCTTCTAKCCAGTCCTTAGAAATCAGAGTGGCTGGGTATAGATAGGCTTAGTTTCTCATTTATCATCAGTTAGACACTGAAGTCTGCTCCCRTTGAATAAGAACTTCCATGGTTGCGGAGTCATGAACAGCCTGTTTTTTTGAAGCAGCAGATGATAGATTCTTGTTAGATTGCTGATAACTGC